GATCGACCCTTTGGATTTATGGCTTAATAAATAAATTTCAAGTAGAAAACTGTGTTTTAAGGGGGGAAAGAAATTTAACTCAAATTGCTGTTCTGAGTACAATAGAACATCAACCAGGTGTCAGGTAGGATTATCTTTTTGTTTGTTTTGTTTAGCACACTTTGTTATTCAGTTCTGTGTCAGATTAAGTTCACCTGTACATTGGTTATGTTGTTTATTTTTATTTGTGTATTTGCAGACTCGGGTAAGATAGAAGCCTTTTTTGTAAGTGATGCTGTTCAAACACACTATAAAAACAAGCCCTTCAGAATTCATAGCCTTAATAGACAGCAAGCGAAAGATAGCAAGGGAAACAATGGCATGGAGGTCTGAAGCCACTTTCCAAGCAGAGGAGTAGTGGGTGCGGGTGTGGGAATAAGACAAGTTCCCTGTCCGTGATGCCTGTACAAAATGAAGTAGATTTGAAATATGTTCTTGATAGTATAATATTGGTGATGTCTGTTCTCGCAGTCTTAAGCTAAGGTTGCTTAAGTCTGCCTTGTAAGTAGCAATGGAAGCGGTCTGACAATCTTGTTGAAACGAGCAGGATAGTATGAAGTATAGCATGGGGCCATGAGCTTCTTTTGACTTTCTCAATGTGAGTGGACTCACATACTTTACTATTAGTTTTGAAAGTTGTTTGGTTAGCTGTCCAGCAGGCATAAACCAGTATAGTGTTATTGATTATTATTTTTTTCCAAGAATCATTCTCAGTTATTAGTTGAGAATCTTGCTCTTTGTTTTGATTTATTCTTATGACTTTTAGCATTTGTAATGTATTTTAGTGTGCAATTTTACATGTACAAGATGCTTACTGGTAGCTTTATTTTGTTAATGATGTTTTATCTTATTAGATCTCAAATACTAGATATTGAATGTGTTGTGGTACATTCATCCTCTTCCTTATTTCTAACATAATTCAACTAAATCTTTGTGTACTTTTGTATCTGATTCACTGTGATCTTGAAGTCCATTTCATCCTCGCAATCTGAGTATTGATCTTATTGATAAAAAGATGGTGAGGTCCTTAATGTAAAAGATACAAAGGCTTAGAATAAATGAATGATCAGTAACTTTGCTTTCTGTATCCTAATAAGTAGATCTCACTAGAGATACAATAGATTGCAAGCTTTTTCCCTGCTCAGCTAATATAAGAATTTCCTGTGTTTTTTCCCTCTGGAATATTATTCAATATGGGCTATAATATTTGATAGACATCAACTTCACTTGAAGTTCAGTTGCTTTCTTTTTTTAAATCAGAAAGGTTTTATCAAAAAGAATGTCAACAGCAATTTTATGTAAAGAGACAGATCTGTAATTAATTGCAGCATATGCAGGCTATGTTTTGTACAGGGAATAATGAATATTCAGTACTATTTAATTGTTTATTTAAAACAGCTTAATGAGCTTTGCAAAGGCATGAAAACACTAAAAATGTGAACTAGAATGATAAAAATGCTTTGATTATATTTTCTCATTGACTATCAACTTCCGAGTAAAATGCAATATGTGATTGCCTTTTTCAATAGTGATGGTGACACAGCTTCTCTGAAACCTGCCCTCCCACTAGCAGAAAGGGGCTAATATGTCTCTAAACCAGCAGTGGCACTGGTATACGCAGTCACGTTTATGATGTTGGCTGATTATTTAGTGCAGAATACATCTATTTAAATGTGCATGTGAGAGACCACCTGTTGGGAATGAGAAAAAACATCCTTAGACTTTCTGTGCTTCTGAATCAAGAAGAAGATTGTACCAGACAATGTAATTACTAGACATTGCTGAGCAGGGGGTTAGGAGAACTATTGTCTTGCTATGTCTTTGTCTGCATAGACTATTTTAACAAGAATGTAGCAGCTATGTATATTTTTGGTTCTGTTGCCTGATTAATTCTGTGTTAACTGGGTAAGAAATTTCTTGTCAGACACTGCTTTCTTTGGTATTCATGTGCACAGATTGTAAAGAGAGAAAAAGAAAGAAAAAGAAATCATAATTTTGTGACTGTAAGCCTCACTTAAAGCAAGAATTAGCATCATTTATTGCATAGAAGGAAGGAGACTTTGAAGCTGATAAAGAATAAAAAGAACAAGAACTTGAGAGAACATCCCCAAAAAATCCACCTCTGACTCCTATCACCCCACTTGTAAAATATCTATTCCCCATTTGCTCTGCAGTACTATGTATGCTGTATTTGTTCTTCCATATGCAAACTGGAATGAATTCGTGCTGCTTGTGACCTCTAATTGGTCATTTACCTTTTTTCTGCATTAATTTTCTTTCTAAATGGGAAGTGTAATGTGCACCTGTCTTTAACCAAAAAGCATGTAATTAAATACAACATAATCTGTCAAGCAAAGAAATAATATTCAATGTGTAAAAAAAAAAAAGAATAGCAGTTGAATAAATCCAGGTAGTCACTGCAGGAGCTTTAAAGACAGCTGTAAGGAAGCAAAGGTTTTGTGTGCTATTTTTTTAACAGAATGATCATTGGGTTTTGGTGTTTTTGCTGGTTTTTTGTTTGGTTTTTTTTTCTCCTCAAAGGAGCATTCTCTCCACACCTCTTTGATTCCTTATACCCAAGGGCTAGCTGAATGTAAATACTGGTAATCGGGAAATTTCCAGATTAAGCATCTTCCAAGCAACTCTCTAACTCAAGAGGTCTTAATGAAATGTTATGAAAATGGAATTGCACAGCACTTACTAATCAGGGAAGCTGAGAAATAAATATGCACCTAAGAGGAGGATTTTTCCAGTGAGATGGACAACAGGTGACTGATCCTTACAGAGATCAAGGAGCAAGGTTTTATACTTGTGATATAGAACAAAGCAAATTCTCTGTAGCAAGCTCTAATTAATTACTTTATACTCTTTCAAATGTTAGCAAAAAAAAGAAAGCAAAGTGGTTTTGTTCAGCTAATGTCCTATTTCTTCTACAGAGATACTGTAAAAAAATTAATGTCTTTCATATTTTTGATTGAATAAGAGGAAAGTTTTGCAGATCCTGGGGACAGCAGAGACTACATTTTCTTGAAGATTTTGATTAAAACCCTCATTTTGCTTCAATGAGAACCTAATGTTTATAATCTGAACAACACATCAGATGGTCTGTTTTTCTAGAACTGACCAAACAATGAAATATAATATGTAAATATTCCACATTCATTGTGAAAGGTATGCTTAATTTTGTTCTGTTTTAATGATCTAAATGATTGTACCTCAAGTAAAATCTTTCTGTGGTTGTTTAAATCAGTCTGTATTCCTTCAATGCAGGGCGACAGATGCTGTTCTCAATTCCATGAATGTAATAAAGGGATGACTTCACTGGATTTGCTGTCACATCAGTTAGTGGGTTTGCAATTGACTCCAGTTCACCTGGGGATATTACAGATGTAGCATTTAGGATGTGAATTGCCTGCTGGTTTTCACTTGGCTTTATCTTCCAATATAAAGCACATTAATGCTAAAATAAAAATCCAAGCAAAATTTAAAACTACTTTTCTTTAAACTATATAATAATACATTTAATTATAAATAAAATGAAATCTGAGCCTAAATATGAACAGTGATCCCATAAACAGTGAAGGCAGGAAAAAGCTGTTTAATCTTATTCCTTCCTACTATCCACTGCAGACATCGTTCTACTAAGCCATTTGCTGTCAATATCTGTGTCACAGGGTGTTACTCATCCTTATTCCAAAACCATTTCTGAACAGACACTTGGGCTACCGCTCAGTGAAGTGATAATTGCAGGCAGATGCACACTGACAGCCACTTCTTTGTTATTTCTTAGCGCCTTGTGCTTCAAAGAAGAAACAGGAGTAAGCTGGCAAACAGGGAGAATATGCAGCAACCGGTGTTGTGGGACATATGTCCCTTTCAAGGCAGGGATTTGTTAACTAGCTGCTCTTTAGAGGCTGGCTGAAGTGTGAAAATGGGGTCCCTGGCAGGAGCACAGCAAAAGCCTCTTCTGGGAAATGGTACACACTTAAACATCTCTGAAGAAACCACTTAATTTTGCAATTTTGAAAATTGCTGTGGTTTTGTGGAAAGTTTCCTTAAGAACTCAGATTTCCAGGTGCCAGTCATCTTCAAGCCTTCGTAAGTTCTTATCATAGGTTATTTACAAATGCTTTTTGCAGCATTTGTTCTCTTCCAAAACATAGTGTTCCATATGGGCAGTCAAAAAGCTCTGCTTCTCTTCACCACTGGGCAAACTGTTTCTTGAACTTAATTTTTAAAAATTGCTCTTTATATATATATAAATACAAATAAAATATTTTTTTTCTAGGAAGGAGACAGACTCCAAAGTTGCATAAATGACATATGGATAGTTCTAAATAAAGAAAAATAAATAGTTGTACTGAGAATTTCTAGGTAGTTTTAGGTGCAATGTCAAATAAACCAAGCCATGGATACCTGCAGAATAACGAAGAAATATTTTTTTACTTTGCATAGGTTATACATCTGAAAAATGAGGAAAAAGTGTGTTTGTTTTTTAAAATTACTAAATAGAAGCATGACTGCAAGTTCAGAAACAAGCAGGTGGTTTCCAGTATTGCCACAGACTCCTATTTGGTTGTGTCTGAAAATGATGTCAGGTACTGACCCGCTGGATTACTTGTTTGTGTACAGTTCAAAAAATGATAGTGCTGTTTCACATTGATTTAATAGATCTGCACAGAATGTGAAAAGTCTGTCTCACAAAAGACTTTATTACAGATCAAAATCTTTTCCCATATTTGCCTCTAAAAGACAATTTTTATGATACCTGGAAAATTTCAAGTGGTTAGAAAACTATGCTGAATATTTTTTATGAACTCTATCTTTTCACCCTAGTGTAAAGAAATAATTATAGAATTAGCATACAAGGTAACCTTTCTAAGGAGTATATTGTATAGTTTAAGCTTTTATAGCTTTATAGTATAAGCTTTAAATTTTTTCTGCACTTCTCCCATCCGCAGGATGCCTTTGAGATAATGGCTGAAAATTATGAGTTCAAAGAAAATGAAATACTCTGCCTGGAATTTCTGAGAGCAGCTTCTGTGCTGAAATTTCTTCCCTTTCCAGTAACCAGAATGAAAGATATACAAGGGTTGCCCTGCATGGGAGACCGAGTCAGAGATGTCATTGAGGTAACATCTCGGAATTATCTACTGATTGATTCTTTCACACATCTGCTTTTAGAGGTCACAGAGTGGAGCATTGATATCTGCTTGTATTTACATAACCTTCTGTATTTCCTGTAATAACATTATGTTATCCTTGTTACTAAGAACACAATGATTTCTGGAAACCTTTTGTAGTAACATATGGTTCTGTCATGGAACCCCTGCCCTTAGGAATAAAGGTAAATAATAAACACAAATTAATAAGTAATGCAATATCATCTTCGTATGTAATTTTAAGAGGCTCATTCTGATCTGGATGTTTGTTCATGTGACTTCTGCCCTTGGCAACATCACTTTGTTTACCCGAATGCTTTCTTAGAAATACTATTTTAGTACTTTAATATTAAATCCTACCTTGCTATGAGTTATAGCAGGGCCTTTTATTTAGGTGATAGATGATCTTTACAGTCTTACTGGAGCTTTGAGTATTCCCTGCATTTTTCTTTCATTCTTAGCCTTTGCAGGACCCCACATTCCAGGTGCTGTTGTTGCAGCAGGCAGCTGATTGGGCGCTCCGCTGTCTGGAAAGGCCATTGCCGAGTGTCGTGCTTCACTCTGGCTCCTTGTTGGCCTCACTCCACTGGTTAAGAATGTAGCCTCTGCAGTGCTCTTTGAACCAGCTACGTGGGGACTGGGAATTCATTTATGATCCCACAGAAAATAGGATGGTTTGAGGCATTTATTGATGGGGATTTTTTGTTTGTTTGTTAGTTTTTATCAGGAAGACAGAAGGAACTGTATGCTCAAGAAAAAACGTATTTGTTCTGATAATGTTCTTACTCTCAAGAAAGTAAACTGAAAATAATGAAGTCTAATTTTTAGGACAACTCGTTGATAGCTTATGATAAATAACTGCTTTCTGGCTGTGAATTTATGAGCAAATAAGTACTGTGAAATATATTCCATGGTCCCAGTTTCTACTTCATCCTTGAGTAAATTTACGAGTAAAGAGGCACTGTGAAATTTATTCTGTGGTTCCAGTGTCTCGTTCATTCTTCAGTAATTTTCTGTCTCCAAAGGGTTGCAGAATTTGATCCTAATGGAATAAAATATTATGCACATGCTCTTCATGTTTTCACAGGTTGATAAGACTTTAATTATTTTACTAAATCTTACCACAGTCTTATTTTTTTGTTTTTAAAAAGCTATGTTTTCCCTTATTTAGGAGATTATTGAAGAAGGAGAGAGTTCTAGAGCTAAAGAAGTGTTAAATGATGAACGATACAAATCGTTTAAGGTAAATCTTTTGTGGTTTGTTGCTGTTGTTTAAAGTTGAATATATTTTATTCTGTTTAGCAGAGCTTAGACATAACTATCAGTTTTATTATGAAGGAACATCCAAGAAAGAAGGGTCTTGAATAAAGAGAAAGGGAGAGAGTGACACTATGATAGAGTGAGGAATAGTGGTGAAATCAGTTATCTTTCTCTAATGTGATGCATATACCATTGCTCTTAAGGTTGAACTAAACAGTGTCTTTTTCTGAAAACTAACATGGTGCATACCTTTTGCTCTAAGTTTAATCCAATGTTGGGTTTCATTTTCGTCAGTTAATTATCGTAACACTATACCATCTTATTCTGGCACTAAGAAAATGCCAGGTGAAGAAGATGACTCTGATCTATTTTAATTCTCTTTTATTTGAGGCAGAAGGAAGAGAACTGAAGATATTTCTTTGTTAGGAAGATTATAGGTTTGGAAACATGGTTGTGCTGCTTCATAATTAAAGGAATCTAAATCACATAAATATTGCAGTTCCCATTTCTTGAATTTTTAGTGACTTCACCACTGGTAAAATATATTCTGAGAAATATTTTTTTCAAATTTAGCTGTATTTTTAATCTCTAAAAATATCCTGTTTGTGCCTTCAGAAAAATTTAAATCAGAAAGTGAAAAAAATGGAACTATTTAATTATCTCCTGAATTGCTCACTTTTACTTCAGCTATTGAAAGGCTCTTCCATTGTCTCTGACCCGTGGTACAAGTGTGAAATGATGTTCAGTGATAGTTGTTGATACCAACTCCAGCAATACTCTAGGAGGTGTATATACACATGTATAGCAGTATTCAGGAACCTGACTTCCTTACTAATGGTAGTAAAGACTGAGGGACAGCCAATAAATCTTAGGTTTCACAGATTCTTCGAGAACAGAATAAAACCTATCAGGGGACAGAGTACCTCAAATATGCTTTATACCTTGTTTCACATGCCAAATTACAAACAACATACGTAGCTTTCTTGTTGGCTGAGCACAATCTCAATATTTTGGCTAAACTGGCTGTAGATGGTTTTTCCCAAAAAGAAAAAAAAAGAAAAAAAGTGGGTTTGTTTTTTTTAAAAAAATTGGACAGTGGCACAGAATCCATTTTCTTTACTTCTCTATCCCAATATTAATTAAGACTCTTGGAATCATTCTATACCCAGTCATAGACTCTTTTGAATATCTTTTAGCACTAGGAAAAACATTAAAATGTAACAATCTAAATATTAAAAAAAGATCACATTCTTTCATAAATACCCGTGATTCAAACAAAGAATAGGTAATTTCATCCATTATATACCAAGTGTAGGGTAATTCCTATTTAATATTATCCAAGACTTTAATTTTTCTCTGTCCTTTATCTTGTTTCCAATGAATTAATCTCTTTAGAAAAACCCAAAATAAATCTTGCATAGTTGGAATTCAGAGGTTGTAGATTCAATGAAAAACAGCAGTTATTCACATCTTACACAGCTACTCACTGAATTCTATGAAAGTACAAAGAAACTATTGAAAGCTTCAGTATTGACAAACTGAACATAAAAAGCGTGCTTTCGGGCAAGCATGAAAGTGTTCCCTCTTGCTTTCATGTCACTGTTCATCTGAGATATTGATCCACTGAATAATGCTTACAACTGTGACATTTTTGCTTTACATCCTTTCTTGGGGAATAAGTTAGTGTACAAAATTACTTTGGAATAAATGGGATATAACCATACCAAAGCTTCAGAGCCTGGTAGATTTGGGCATATTTTTTTCCAGTGGGCAAAATAGTGAAATCTGTGCTCCAAATAAGACGTATAGGAATTTAGCTTGGCTCATGTGAGGACTGAAGAATTGTAAGACTGTTTCATAATATGCAAACAAATAAACTCTACTGATTGTACTTGAAACTGAATCCTATTTCGGAAAACAAGATTGGGCATAACCTCCAAACATACATATTTTATAGAATGTAATGTAAGCATAGATCAGTTGTCTTTATATACTTACCATCTGTTTCCATGCGTCATTGAGACCCATTGCCCTCAGTGCAGAATTTCAAGAGCTGCAAGTTTCCCACAGACCCCATTTCTCATGAGTGCTGCAACACCAACATCATGTCCAACTGAGAACTGGTAGTGCATATATTACAAAATTGTCATGTCAATAAAATTGGAAAGATAGTGACATCAGTGTAAGGGAAGTGAGCTTCTTAACATAATTGTTTGCATTTCTATTTATAAATGCAGTAAAAATAAAGACTATTATCTTTATTTAAAATCTTAGTTGAAAGTGTGTGTTTAGATACATCACATAAAGATGCTGGGACTACTACTGTGTTATTGTTTAGATTTTACTGTATTGAGAACTCTATATAAAAGCGACAGTCTGTTCAATGTAACTATGCAAAGAAAGGAAGCTGAATTTGTATGTTGGTATTGCACTGTTATTAATCTTCAGTGTAAGATAAATTCTGCCCAGTATTTTCCCTGTGAAACCTCCTTGTTACCTACTTATTCTTAATTCACTTTTTTAGAAAACAACACTAAAATGCACATTCTTCTACTCACTGTAGCAATTTACTTCAGTCTTTGGAGTGGGAGTGAAGACATCTGAGAAGTGGTACAGAACGGGTTTACGAACTCTGGAAGAGGTAAAAGCTGACAAGACTCTGAAGCTATCAAAAATGCAGAAAGCAGGTAAGGTGAAAGTCTCATAAAAGCTTCTATCTTAGTGCTCTAAGAACTTGATAACAGAGTCAGAGGTGGAGGCAAAGCTCATGTGAGTATTAGATTAAGTTAAAATATTACTTGGACTAAGAGAGCTTCTAAATAAAAATAGTGTCATTCAAAGCATATGAATATGCTTTCTTTAATATATGTAAATTGCTTGCATGAATGCTCAGTGAAATCTGCTATTATACACATAAAAAATTACATTAGGAAATCCCGGAACTACTTTTCAGAGGAGACATGTCTCTTTCAAGGCAGTCCTATTTTAGTGATATATCAAGATTTGTAATGTAAAGTATTTGTAAAATTTAGAAACATTCAGGTTCTCAGTAAGTGGAGCAATTATCCTGGTGCTATGTTGGTACAAATTGTAACTGCCTTTATAATTTATAACAAATTATAATGTCAAAAATAATTATATATAAAAATATA